TTCTAGCATTTACTCAACTCTCAATTTAAAAACAATCATCTGCTTTAATGTTCACACAGACTGCATGTTATCCACAATTTATGGAGCTGAAAGGAATCTCTTAGAGTAAATTCATTTTTTAAAAATCCACTGTTTCTAACATCTGAGTGATGCAACCAGTGTTAATCCTGTGGTAAATGGTTGTAACCAAGCAGTTAACAGTCTGTAGCTAAATGGAATGACAATGTCTCCCTCTGCTGGTTACAGTGAAGCTGCATACAAACACATTTTTTGCTCTTATTTGCAAAGACAGATTTCATTCCACTAATCTAAAGATCTTTTTTTGGTTAAAGGAGCTTCACTATGTTTTTGCTGCAGTAAGATGTAAACTAATTTACACGTGACTATTAGAAATAATTAACAGATTGGCTCTCTAGGTATTTGGGATTCAAACTAGATAAAAGACTTTTGTATTTTGCTTGGATTTTCATCAAATGAATAAATAAGCAAAAACAACACCTTATAATAATTGATTTATTTCAGGAGGCTTTTTTTAGTAAAACCATGAACTGCAGCCTTAAAGCAATATATCCTCCCTAATTGAAGTAAAAAAAAAAAAAAGTTAATAAAAAATGCTAAAAATATTTAAGTAATGCAGATTGATCTTTGCATTGGAACTGATAACTAGGTTTCTAAGTCTGTTTGTGCATCATCCTCTGTATCTTCCACGTAATACATGCATAATGCATTTACAGTGGAGAGTAAAACTCACTTTTATCTGGAAGAAACCTCCAGCAAAACCAGGCTCAGTGTGAGCAGCCTTCTGCCGAGGTTGACTGGGGTGGTAGAAGCAGACATAGAAAAGAAGCAGATATATAAACAGTAACTGTTAACTAGCTAAATAGGTTTCAGTTGATGAAAGAGAGCACATGCAGTCAGTCAGAGTAAAAGAAACATAACTACACTGAAAAAAGGTCAAACCCCAACATCTACAAACAAAGGTGTTGATGGCAGCAGCCCAGGTGAAATTTCAATCCAGGATGGAGTCAAAGTCAAACTGCAACAGATCAGATGAAGCTGTTCTGATGAGAAAAGGAAGAGAGAACATATAGTTATGATTGGAACCTGAACAATACTGCAGAATGCGAGAAAAAAGATAAAATGAAGCAAAATGAGGAAAATTGGACCCTATGTCCTCCAGCAGCCTACACTTGTAGCAGCATAAATGTAGAAAGTATCTCAGGATAACCTAATTATTTTGGAAGAGGTATGAGAAAGGACAAGCCAATTAATTGGTTAGTTGACTATTGTTCTCTGCTTGAGAAACATACAATGTTCAAGCCTTTTATAAGAATCCATACAACTTAACAAGTAATGAAAGTATGTATGAATTCTGCTGATATCATATTGCGTCACTATTGGTATTGTATCAGAAATGAAAAAGATTGACATGTATAAATCTGTCATCCATAGATTAGTATTGGCAGGTCCCTTATTTGATTTGTCTCTGATTGATGATCGGCAGGTGAATTTGTGAAATATAGAAAATCGGATTTCCCATTCCTCTAGTGCACTGAAAATATGAACTTCCACAACTTTCAGTTTGTAAATGCATCGATATCAACATCCACATTAATGCATCTTTTGGGATCAATAGAAACAAGAAAACAGAAGAGTATGTTTTGATGGATAATTATAAAATTCCCTCAATTTCTGTGGTATTCTAAGCTACTACGGGGCATCCATCAAAGTACCCACAATATTTTAACTTTTTGTGTTACAGTAACTTTGGATTTGGTCAAAATAGGAATAACCCATTTAGACTTTAAAGCAAACCATATATAAGTAACAGGAAAACATTGAATGGTGTTCTCTAAAAAAAAGGCATCTTTGACTTTAATAAAAGCAACTAGAAAAATCTCAGTTAATATTGTTTGTAAATGGTTTATTCATACATTCTGTCATAATCTTGGCACTGATGACTGTATTATCTGTTTATTTCATCCACCCACCTAGCTACGGCCAGTTTTTATTATGACTCATCAGATCCACCTGTTCGAGGTCCTGTTTAAACTGCTTAGTCCTAACTATCAGTGCCAGACTATTTGAGCCGTAGGTGAGAGTTTTCTAGCATACCCAGTATGTTTATTCTCATTGCCTGGTTGTGACTAGTTTCTGCTCCAGAACTTCTGAGTTTGCCTGTCCCTGTTCTGATCTGTTTGTCTGACCTGTCTTCTGACTTCCATTGGATTCTGTCTGCAAATGACCCTGGATCTGTCTCCCGACCACAGCTTGGATTTCCCTTCAGTATCTTTTCTGATCTCGGATCTTCTGGCCTGGACTTCTGCAGCCTCATCAACACCGGCTTTGGATTCTCCTTCCGGATACTTCTGCTCTTCCTCGTCTGCTGGCTCCTGCTCATCGATCTGCTCTGCACCACCTTTGGCTTCTACTCCTGGAACTCTCTGGGCGACCTCCGCCACATGCTGTGGAAACTCATCTGGCTGAATTCCACTCCTTCCTCTGGGCTTGGACTGAACTTATTAACCAGTTTAGTGCTTCTCATGCTCGCTATCATTGCCCGTCAGAGTTACGTGGTCACTAACCTGTGTTTCTCGCTCTACAGAGCTTCCAACCATCTAGTCCTAGCTACCGAGACGCAGATCTCCAAGCAATTAATAAAAGCTTTTTATAAATTACTTCATTCTGGGTCCAACGTTCTGAGTCCTAACACAGACATTAACTATATCAGATTTGAATACGATCAATGTAAAAAGAAACATATAATTCCACAAAGTAAGGAAAACAGGTTTTTGCTTCATTTTTAAAATGCTAAGAGAAGTGAATAGTTTAATATAATTTAAAAGAAAGATATTAACATGATATACAGTATATATATATTTTTTTACAGTTTATAGCATTGCAGTGCTATGTTATAGCATTTCTGGAATTTGAAGTTTGGAGGTTGAAGTGGAAGCTAAGTTGGGGGAAAGAAATCCCTCTGGGTTGTTCCTTCTGTAGTTATAAATATAATAACCTGCTATCTTTGTTTCCTGCTTCATAATATTGTTGGGATCTGGAGAAGTTCCACCTTTCTCCAGCAGAGTTCGCCGTGGATCCTCCTGAGCTGAGCCTTCGACACACCTGAGGCACATCTCATCATCAGGAGGATCCTCCAGTATATAACCGGCCTTCAGACCTTGCCTCAACGCCGCAGTGTTTATCCAGTTTGGTTAGCACCTGAGCCTAGCATCTTCTGAGAACCTTCGTTGCTTCTGTTCCCTGGTTGGATTCTAATCCCTCTTTGTCTCTGCTTACAGGAATCCAGTTTCCCTTAAGCTCTGGATGAGCTTAACCTGCCGAGCCTGCCCTCTGAGCCAAACCTAAAGACTCTTCTCTGGATTCTCATGCTGCTCTGGACTAAGAGCTGGAAACCCAAAGCCAAGGTCTGCCCTCACGCTAGAAGCAAGACGCTGAAGCGGTTACTGAACTCTGCTGAACTAAACAATCCCTGGACCCAACAGTTCCTCTCTCAAAGCCAAACCCGGACTCCTCAAGGTATTAATCAGAAACTCTCAAACTCAAACTCATCTGCTCCCAAGCTAACTGAACTGTCACCCTCACAGACTTCAGTGAACCTGCCCCCAGGCCTGAACCAGTTCCTGTGTTACATCCATGTGCTTGTGCTTAAATAAACTTGTTAAACTTTTCATCTGTCTCCGTGGTGTTCTGCATACTGGGCTTTTCTGAAACCCATCATGACAAATATATTCTATCAATACACCTAAGGGCTCCTTCTGCCTTATATGTAAGAAAGTCTAACTTGGCTCTATTCTCTTTAAGTTTATTCAATACTTCTTGTTTTAAACTTCATTTATATTCATAATTTAATCTCTTGATTCCAGTTTCTAATTCTAATTGGGTTTTTTTTTTTAAGTCTGTCTGTCTCTAACTTTAATCCTATGGATATAATTTCTCAAACTATTGTAGCTTTCCCTGCGTCCCACAAAAGAGAAGCTGAGACCATTCTGTTGCCATTCAAAGCAAAATATTCCAGTATTGCCAACCTTTTTTAATCTCTTACATTTGCAAATTTTTGTAGGTATTTCTATTTGATGGATGGTAAGCTCTGTGTGTAGCTGAAACATAACAGTGCACAGCATCCTGAAAACTCAATGCCTTCTGACAGGTATTGTGTGGTAAGGATACTTTTCTTTTGGGGGAGCTTGGAAACGGTCACAATGGATGGGGGAAATAGATGGAGTGAAATTCAAGGAAACACTGGAGGACAATCTGTGATTAAAATGGACTTGTAGAACAAGATCAAATTCCAGGAGGACAATGACATCAAACACACAGACAATAAGATCTCGCCGTAACCCTAGTTTGGTGAGAAGTTGCATGTTTGTTCTTTAAGTTTATGATAAAAAAAAAAATGTATGCCTGAATCCATCCTTTCCCTTCCCTGTTCAAGTGACTCTAAAGCCATACATCATTTTCAATGAGGTCAGAGAAGCTACTATTGTGGAACAAGTAGCCCCAGCCCCAAGGGCGGCCCCTGAACTCTGTATCCGGTTTGTGCTGCTAACTCGTCACTCCCCTGCAGCAACATTTCGGTTTAATCAAGTTTCACCGGAACACCCTGGAATCAGTTACAAGGATGGAATAAATTAAAGATGCCCACTAAAAAAGAAAAAAAAAAGTGTCAAAGAGCAGTGGGGGAAACCGAAGATGCAGATGACGACTACGCACAAGAGCAGGAACCCGAGCCAGAGTAGAAAGGTAAGCAGGTAAGTGACTCAAGAACGCATGAAGATTAAAGAAAACATTTGAGGATGGCAATGAAGGTTATACAAGGCATGGAGTGAGAAGCACCAAGAAAAGAGGAGAAGGAGAGAGGGGGATGAGTTGATCAAGGATGAAAACACAATGAGTCCCTGGGTGGAAAGAAGGCAGGGAAACTTCCAGATGTGATCGAGTCAACCGAGAGAGGTTGAAAGAAGTTCGCTGTAAAAGACAAGATGGGATCAAAGAGCAAAAAGAAAAAAGGTGGAGATCAGGCTGCTGGGGATGAGGAGGAGGCAAAAAAGAAAAAGAAAGACAAGAAGAAAAAATCCTCAGAGAAAGGTGATAGTGATGAAGACACAAAGAAGACAAAGGGAAAGAAGAAAAAGATTGAAAACTATGTTGAAATCTATGAGAACGAGCTCCGCAACTATGAGCCAGAGAACGTGGAGAACTACGAGGACGAATACCACAAAAAGAAAGGTAACACAAACTTTTGATTTCAACCTGTCATAGTAGGTTTAACTATCTGCAAAACTTACTGACAGATGTCGTATTTATAGAAGCAGTCACATCCGAATAAGGGACAATTGGATTTAAGCAAAGCTTTTTAAGTGTGTTTCATTAAACTCTGCAGTGTATGAGGTGGTGACCATTACAGGGGATGAGAGCGGAGCAGGTACTGATGCCAACGTGTTCATAACTCTTTTTGGAGAGTATGGCATCACACCCAAAATTCACCTGGCCAGCAAGTAAGCTTAGTTTGGAAAATATTCAGCTCTATAAGCTTGTCTATGTGTGTAATGAAGATAAACTTTTTTTTCTGGTATTAGGTATAATTGATGGTTGATGAAGTCCGTTCCTGCTGTTGCACTAACACCACCTGTTTTTCCTCCACTTTCACAGCACGGAGAAAAAGTATGTATTTATTTATTCATTTGGGGGGGGGGATTGTTTTGTTTTCTAGAACGAACTGAGTGCTGTGTTGTTTTGCAGAATAATTTCTCCTAAATCCCTTTTTGTTTTTTGCTTTACTGGGATTTAATGTAAATTCTTCTCTTTATCTCTTTCAATAAATCCTGTTCTGTTTGTTTTCTTTGTATTACTTTTGTGGCTAAATTTTTTTACTTTCACTCTCAGAATTATGAAAATCAGGCTATTTTAATAATAAAATGCTTATTTTACATTTAAGGAGTAGAACTGCATTTGAAAGAGCCAAAACTGATGTGTTCAGGATCAGAACTCACAATGTTGGGCACCTGAAAAAAATAAGGTAGGGCTGACACCGTAGTTTCACTGCCTTTGGGCTTGTTAGATATACTTCTTAGATCAAAATGAAATAAACAGGATTAGGCAGAGATAGATTGATGAATGAATATTTTTGTCACATGTTCTTCTTGTCCAGGATTGAGCATGACAACACAGGCATGAATGCAAGCTGGTTCCTGGACCGAGTGATCATCACAGATGTAATCCGCCCCCATTTAAGGTTTTACTTTTCTTGTAATAATTGGCTCAGTAGGGTGGAGGGAGATCGCCTTTATGTTAGAGACCTGCTGGCCACTATGGACCAAATGGACATGCCCAAATGTAAGAACGGATTTATAAAAAATAAAAATAAAAACTACAAAATTAAAAGCAGACGTTTAAAGATGATCCTTCAAATGTTTTTTTTGGGGGGGGTTCCCAGACAACAAGTACATTGTGAGCGTTTTTACTGCGGACATGAAAGGAAGCGGAACTGATGCAGATGTCTTCATCAATATTTTTGGCGAGTTTGGAGACACAGGTATTCTGCTTGTCACACTAGTAACTAAATTGGTTTTTACCCCAAGCTAAATGTCAAATTTGACACAGAAAATCTAGAAGTCGCAGACAAAATGAACGATCGCTTTCATTACAGGAGAAAGATGCCTTGACAGCGACAAAAACAACTTTGAAAAAGGCACAGAGGACAAGTTCACAATCGAGGCACCAAACTTGGGGAGAATTAGGAAAATCACCATCGGCCATAACAACAAAGGCTCCTCAGCAGGATGGTTTCTTGATAAGGTGCAAACAATATTCATGTGTTTTACTTTGTCCTGGAAGCTGGAGATTCACATTTCAAGTATATCCTTAAATTCACTCTCAGATTATTTCTTTCAGCCTCAAAAATGTATGGTTTTCTCACAGCTGGCAATGTTTCCATGAATGCTGGAATTTATAAGTTTCCAATTATGACCATGTAGAATGTACAAAAAAAAACACTGTATCATAAAGATAAAATAATTTGTGTCACGCTGTAAGAGTTATAAGATGTCTTCCTGTATAAGTTCTGGCATCAGCAAATAGAAAATGTTTGACAGGTAATAGTCCTTTAAACAGAAAGCAAGAGCTGGCATTTATACTACTTTTATTGAATTTAGAGTCTATTTGGTATATAAAAAAGAGCACAACAATGAACTGTTGCCCAGTAATTCAGAAAACTGGTTGGTGAAAGTTTTTTTTCGAACCTGTAAAATGTTATAAATACGTTTTTTAAGCTTTTAGTGCTTATAGTAGGTTACTGGTGATTCAGCACAACAATGAGCAAACCTCATATATTTTCACTTTTTTTTTTTCTTGAGTACCCCTAAAGTAGGAAATACAATTTGGATTAAATATAAAATATGCTAAAGGTGGTCGATATAAACTATTAATCTACAACTGATTGGTTTGTGATGCTATGGCAGACCTAGAAATGTTTAACATACTCCTGATATGTTCATTAAATGTAGAATAAATGTATTTGTAACATCAATGGAGAGGTAAATTAAGCTCTAGAGTGTCCTTTGGTTTCAGGTTCCTGTGGTGGAGGGCTGAAGGTTGCAGGAATTTAACTGAAACTTTAATCTTAAAAAACATAAACAAAATGTTTTCCTCTTAGACAAAGATGCTTCAAATAAAATCTGCAGTCGCCCTGTCATAGCAGAACGTAAAATCAGTAGAAAAATCTCACAATCCCCTGTTTATGTATGAGCTAGACTGCAAGAATGCAGGAAAGGAGTTTAAAATACCCATCAGCCGTGACTAAACAGTTTTGCTTCCACTGTGAAAAGGTCCTAACCAAAAATAAAAAATCTACTTTCTTTTTTAACTATAAGGGACAAAAGAATTCTTTGTCTAATGTGTTTTAAGTACTGAAAATTAAAAACGAACACAATTTGTCCCAGAAGAACATTAAGTCCTTCTATGTCCTCAGTGTTGCCTCCTCAATGGTAGTTAAGACACTGGATCTCCTCATTTGCATTTCAGTCTTCCGTATCTAGCTCTCATCTCTGCTCTTTGGACGCATACAGTACGGTGTGCACCTGTGAGAGATGAGTTGACTCAAAGTGACGCGTACATGGACACATACATGACACACGTGTCGTCATCCTAGCCTCTGTGTAAAGAGAAACCATTGCTCATTAAGGGATAGCCTTTCAACTAACAGACAGATGAGTCAGTAGATTTGTTTGTTACTGTAGGGACGAGTGACACTGAAGTTCAGTTGTGAAAACAAATTTGCATAGTAATTGGACTTTGTGATGCAGTTATAGCACACACACACACACACACACACATATATATATATATAGTGCATATATGCAAAATCAACAAAATAATGGTTAGTTGCAATAGTTATCTATAACTAGACAGTATGTCAACATCTTACAATTCTGATAAAGAGTTTATAAAGTTAAGTGTTGCAAATAAAAGGGGCTCAGAAAAAGGGTTTGCTGTTTGGATTGTTAATAATAAAAAAAAAATAAGGACATATTGTTTTAATTATTGATCCTGCCAGCGTGTGTAACCATTATTTATACTGAAAAAACAACAAATTCAGCTCAGGAATAATAAATATTGCCTAAACTTCACAAAAAACAGAAGATTTACTTTTGTGGAGTAAAACATCAGTGAATATGGCAGGCAGAAGCTGCAAGTTTCTAGTTGTCTCTTAATTCTTGCATCATTCCTGGTATTTTGTTTGCTTTAGTGTTTCTCTTAAGATCTGCCCTATCTCTGATTCATATTGAAGACTTATACACAAGATCTGATGAACAAAAATACAGAACCTTGACCTGTTTTTCTACAAAACTTAAAAGCTTTCTTATTTTCCAGTGATCTCCCAAGGCTTTAAGCAAAAGACTCTATTTGAAACATAGCTCTCTTTCAGTATTTTTGAACAGTATAACACCGTCCGTATTGTTGTATCTCTGGTTAGGGTCTGTGAAAGCCTTCAAATGCTCAGTTATATTTTATATTTTAAAGAACACCTATTAATACTATTTGGGAAGCACATTTGTGGCTTACTTATATATGTTCTTTGGTATTTTAGTCAAGATAAAAAACTTAAAGTTCACTTAAATCACTGGTTTGACTTAGGGTTTTTTTTACCAATAACTGGGACCATGTGAAGATATAGAAGAATTTTTTAATTATCAAATAGAATTTTCTTGCCCCTTTGTGCTTAACAACTTAACAACTAGTAATGCAGTTGTGATCAACAGTTTGAAATAATTAATCATTTTTGCTGTTTTTGCAGGTGATTTTGGATGATTTGGGAAACAAAGTAGTATATGAATTCCCCATCCATCGCTGGTTTGCCCTAGATGAAGATGATGGGAAGATTCAGAGGGACATTTTGGTGGGAGCCGACCAGCCGACAGGTGAGGTTAAAAAACAGATTTAAACCAGGAAAGAATGTAGCAGTATCGAGAAAGGCAACCTCTGCGACCTCTTTCAATTATTAAAATGCTCTAAGCTTCTCTACACAATGCTATTAAAAGCAAAGCGTTGCTGGAAAACCTTATAATTATTATTAATTAGCCTAGGAGGCTGCTGTTCACATCTGAGGATTCTTGTTCCTGCTCAGCTCTGTGAGACTTAAACTGTGAAAAACTAACTAACTAGTAACTGAATCCCGCAGGTATTATCTACAATGTTCAGGTTGTGACGGGAAACATCCGAGGTGCAGGGACCAACTCCAAAATTCACATAGTGATGCATGGTACCAAAGGCCAGAAGAACAGTGGAAAGGTAACAGGGAAGAATTCCAACTGACAAGTAGAATTGCTGTATTTCGTTTTTAGCGCACTAAAGATTGAAGTTTTGACAAGACAAAATGTGTAAAAGTTCAGGGGGTGTATATACTTTGTGAAGCATGTGCATAACAAATGTAGTAAAGTAGAAGGATTTAAGACAAAAATGTTCAAAAAAATATTTGATAATGGTTTAAGAAAAATTGTACTGCTCAGGAAGAAGAAATACTGCACCTGTTTATAAAACCTACATGCTACACATTGTTGTGTTTTCCATTTGGATTTTCCTTAATACATTTTAACTACAGGTCTGATTCACATTTCAATTGTTCCCTTTTCTGCAGATATTTCTGGAAGGAGGAGAATTTGAGCGAGGCCTGACAGACATATTTAATGTCGAGATTGCTGCGCTGCTCAGTCCTCTCAGCAGAGTTACCATTGGACACGACAATGATGGGGTCAGCCCCGGTTGGTACTGTGAGAAGGTGATGTAAAAACGGGATTGCAAACAGTTTAGATGGGGTTTACTATGAATTGGCTCAACTGAATCAAGGTTTTCCACAGGTTGTCGTGTACTGTCCTTTCACGGGGATAGAGCAGACCTTCCCATGTGGTAAATGGCTGGATGAAAAGGAGGGGGACGGGCTGATTGAGAGAGAGTTGTATGAGATGGTCTCTCTAAGGCAAAGGAGGCAGAAAAGTAAGTTTGATGTTTGTCAATAGCAGTCATGCCACACACAGTAGCGTTGAAAATAATCTTGAGTATTTCCTTCCTTATTTTTTTGTCGTTTGATCTCAACAATCAAACGACGGTTTATTGCAATCTTTTAAAAATGCCTCGATAATCTTTTTTTTTTTTCATTCAAATTTTTTTAATGCTTTAACTTGGACTTCGGCTGCTTCTTTAAGTCATCTTCCTTCCATTAGCTACACATCACCAAGAATGTGTTTAAATTATTTAACTCACTTATCAATCATCTATGGATTAAAAATCAGTTTACATTTTAATTGTGTTCAGGTTTGTTTGTTTATTAAGATAATATCTAAAAAAATAAAAACCAGATGAAGAGAAAAAGTGAGCAGCAGGTTGTCCACAGTCTTGCAAAGCATGACGATGCTCTGCATGTAACACTGAAACTCTGCACCTCAGTGTAACATTCGCCACCTATGTAAGAGAAAAGTAGTAAAGCCAAAGGCTCCTGCTTCATTACTAGTTAAAAAGGTGAAGATTTGCATCTTGGCTGACATGTCTTGTGAAGAGTGGGAAGTCAGTTGAAAAGGAGGAGCAGTACATTGAAGACCTAACAAAGAAAAACCTTAATAAGTCATTAATACTAGGTGAATCTAATATTCTAAATAAATAAACAACCATTGTGAGCACATTCAGGTATTCATACATTGTAATGCCCTGCTCTCATTCTGAACAGCATTGTTACTCTGATGTGATCAGGCAGGTTCTTACAAACCTTTACAATGACTGTCTGCAGCATGGTAGAATTTATGGAAACAGGGAAAGCCTCCCTTTTATATATTCAGTCTATTCCTGTCAAGGTATCGCACTTTTTGTTTCTGTTTAAGTCTTATTCTTTTTGAATTTTCATAAGTTTCATTTACATTTTGTGGTGTTTTCTGGTTTTATTTGAGTTCTTATGTATTTCTTGTTTACACACTGTTGCCATCTTGTGTCAGTCTCCTTCCCCTGCCTCCCTTCTAGATTCTTCTGTCCACACCTGCTCCCAATCTGCTAATTTGCCTAGTCTTTTTTATACTCCTCCTCCTCTTTAGTTCCTGTTTGCTGGTTCCTCATTGTTTCTGTGCTCCTCATGTGTGTTTTCCCTGATGTCTCCTGGATTTAGGTTTTCTTTATTTTGTTTGTGGATATAATAATCCAAAGGGCAACAAGCTTTTGCTTCTTTTGCCCTTTGGATTATTAAACCTGCAAGAAACCACTTCTGCTTCAGTCTCTGTATTTGGGCCCTCAAAAAAACTCCACAACACCTGACAATTCCATGTTTTACTCAAAACTTTGCAGCCGAACATTTTGTCTAATGACATTGATATTTAGGGACATCAATAAATCTTTGGTACTAGTATAAGATACATGAATAGAAAAAAAAGAATTATCTTTTCAACAATCTATTCTCTGTTTACAATCTGTTCTCTGTTTACAATGCTTTACGTTCCAAATCTTACAGTGATCCACAAACCTTTGGTAGTAACTTTGTGTTTTAAGGAAACATAGTTCTGAAGACTCTTAGAAAAGTGGATGTTAAATTACTAATACTAATTTAATATTTTATTAACCTAATGTGTTTTGCTTTAAAATTTTGTTTAAATATGGTCGGATATTTGAGCACTCTATTACAAAACCTATGAAGTAACTGCAATTTATTTCAGTAATATAAAGCTATGAAAAATAGGCCCCTATCATGATTTTTTCCTCTACTTTTCCACTTTATCTCTGTTTAAACACAAGCCCCTTGGTGTCTGACACCATTAATATGATAGAACTGGGAAAAAATGAAGCAGTACTTTAAAGGAGCAAAATATCAATAAAAAAAAGTGACCTTGTCCATTTTTGGTAAACAATGACTTTGTGAAAGGCTCAGCAAAAGCTCCTGCAGTGCGTTTTGAGCAGTAGAAGCAGTGCGTCCAAGCAGCTTAAGCAGCTCCTCATAAGCTTCTGATGCGCGTAACACGCTTCAATAGCAGCAGTAGCAACAGCTGGAAAAAATTTACTTTTGTTGCTCGATGTGCCACATCAACCAATCAGAGAAGCTGATCTTGGAGCTGGCAGGGAGACAGACACAGGGTCGCTGATACAGATTGCTATGATCACTCCTATGAAACTGTTTATTAATGCGTAAATTAACTTAAAATGTTGAAACCTGCCGGAAAAATATTTTCGTTTGTATTATTCTGGTGCCTGTAGTTTGGATTACGTACGTGAAAGACGCCTTCCAGTCGCCGCGAACAGCAGCGGAAAACCGCAAAGAGGCAACTGGGCCAGAGGATGCCGTTGAACTGGAATTTCAGGGACAGAGCTCCACCGTAAAACTGTTCGCAGGTGTAAGGGGTCTGAGTGGCTCTGACAGCGAAAGAATATTTGAAGGCAGCATCATAACCTTGATGAACTGACTGTACAGATGAAGTTTTAAGGTGGACTTTCTCACTTAAAAACATATTAAAACTATGTTTTAACCACTTATGAGAGCAAACAGAGCAAAGCATCTCTCTGCCACTGACTACAGGAGCAGCAGAAGTATCATACGTATCTGGACAAACTTAACTGCACGTCTGGCCTTAATGTGGACAAGCATCAAAAATGAAGCAGCAGAAGCTTTTGATAGCAATGAAACTGAAAAGGAGGCCTTTTTTTGGGTGGGGGGGGATCTACCGGGCCGCTGACTGGACCGGACCAGACATTCTAACTCAGTGCAGCATCTTCATAAATAAATGTTTTTTTTTTAATTAAAACTCTTTGATTTGTCTGTTTGTAGAACACCCCTGGTCCTTGTGGATTTGGACGTCAGACCTGCAAGGTGCTGGCACCGATGCAGATATCTCTTTTCAGGTTTATGGAGAAAAGGGCAAGTCAGATGAAATCAGGCTGGACAATAAGTCTGACAACTTTGAAAAGGGTCAGGTTGACAAGTTTATGGTGGGTAGGAAATTCTTTAAAAATATCTAAATTTAAATCTGTAAGTCGGGTAACAAATATTATAATAATTATCCACAAGGTTGAACTGCCTGATTTGGGAAAATTGACCAAACTCCGTATCTGGCATGAGAAGAGAAATCCTTTTGCAGGATGGCATCTGAGCAAGGTCAGATTTCTCATCTCTAACTATTCAGATAAATTTATTGCATTCCTGCACAGAGTTGTATAATATTTTTATGTTTGTGATCTAAAGATTTTCTGCTTCCATTTTTCCCAGCTATCTTAAGCTTCATTTTTAGTTCATGTTTCAACCCGTGTGTCTTCCCTATATGAAACAATAGCAGCGCTTCACATTGCTAAGTGGGGTTTCTTTTAGGCAACTTTGATGAAGACATTGACAAAGGAGAAGTACACATTTCCATGTGAGCGGTGGCTGGATATAAACGAAGACGACAATGAGGTTGTGAGGGAGCTTCCTGCCTGTGGAGACCTGATTGTTGAGCCACTGCCTGGCATGTCTTTACACAATTACAAACAGATGTATAGGGACTGTTTTTTTTTATTTTATTTTTTCAATTACTATTCTGAAGTTTTGTTCTGTTTTGCAGTGATTAAATATCGGCTGACAGTCTGTACTGGTAATGTTGGTGGAAGCGGAACAGACGCATCAATATTCATCAACCTGATTGGAGACCAGGGGGATACAGGAGAGAGGCAGCTGATAAACTGCAAAAACAATGTCAACAAGTTCGAGAAAGGAAATGTGGGCATATTTTACACATCATGTTAAAAGAAAACAGACTTCAAACCTAAAACAATCAGCACACAAGGTTCAGCAAAAAAACATAAAGGGGCCTGCAAGGAGCTGCTCAGGAGCTGTTGCTTTTTGGGCCCTCCACAGTAGCTCTCAATAATTCTAGACAAGCAACATGTTAAACTGTGAAAGATTTTTGAATATACAATAAAAGTACAATAAAAGCAGACTGTTCGTATAATTACGTGGTTTTGTGTAATATCTTAACAACAGAATAAGACCAAGATTGTATTGTTATAAATAAATAAATAAATTCTGATTATGAAGGTTAAACAATATAATGAAAACTTTTTAAATGTTTATGGATCTTGGATTTTGTTATTGGATATGATTGCTTATACTGTATTACCGTACTCATTTAAAGTGAAACCAATCAATTCCAAACCAAATTAGAACAAAATTAACTCAACAGATAAAAAAAATATTCTATTCACTGCTGACAGAAAGAAAATTCATAAAAGAAGGTCTTATATTTTTACCAATTAGTCCTGGCTGAAAAAAATCAGCATTTTATTGAGATTTTTTGCTACAGTTAGAGCCATAATTATTTTATTTCAGGCTTGATCAGATGTATTTGAAGCAAGAGAAAATGGCTTCGTGCATTAAACTGTTGCTGGTCCTGTGTTAACTAACCAAATAAACTAGAACCATGTATCCTATACCCCACACTTTAGCTCATTTGCATGATTAACAGTTTAAGTATTTGTGTATATATATATATATATATATATATATATATATATATATATATATATATATATATATATATATATATATATAAAAACCTCAAAATGTTTTTAATTTCAGATGGATGAGTTTATAATTGAGGCCGTGACCATCGGGCGGGTCCACAGGATGAGGATTGGACATGATGGGAAAGGCGGTGGCTGTGGCTGGTTTCTTGATAAAGTGATTGTAAGAGAAGAAGGAAAGGCAGAGGCCCAAGCTGTAGAATTCCCCTGCAACAGGTAATATTCACGATCAGTAAATTTTGGTACCGTTGCAAAATAATTGATACAACTTCAATTTTGTCAACTTATAATCATAGCGTCATTGCTATTTATTGAGGATTGACATAATGCAACAAAGCAAAGTAGTTTATGTATGTACTAATACTACTATTATGTATGTAGTATTATGAGAGCACAAAAATATGCAAGGTTTTATATTCTTTTTATTACAATAAGCATTTGTTTTCAGTCCAGAAATTAATAGTCTCTGAAGTCGAGATGCATTTGAAGGATGTCCTTTCCACATTTTCACATACAGAGTCTAAAGTGTTCACTAAAACTGATCTGACAAATAAGTTCATTTAGAGGGTGGAGAGCATTTGTACATGATTTTTGTGTCTGTTTGTTTTTGTCTAAATTTTGAATGGGCCACTTTAACCTTTACAACCTAAATGTATTAACAGTTATTCAAATAGGTTATAACAATACATTTCTTTTTTTTCTGTCAGATAGACAGCCAAGTCAAACAATGATTGCAAATATGATAGATAATAACAGAAATTACCGTGCAAAAAATGTAAAATTTGGCATAAGTCTGATGACTAATGATGATGATGGTTATGCTTGGAATGTGCATCAGAAGGATTTAGTAGGATACAATTGGATTAACTGCGTTAGTCTTTTTGGGGCTAACACAAGTACTTTTAGTAGTAGTTTCAGCAGAGACTCCCAGACTTCCCTCTCCCCAAATACATCTTCAAGCTCTTCTGGTGAATTCTAAGGCCTATCGGGTGCTAACCAAGAGACATAGTCTTAGCGAGTCTTGGGCTGTCCCCTGGGCCTCCTCTTGGTGAGTGCTCTCTTTTTTCCATCGTGTTCTCCTTCTTTCCCATCGCCCGGCTTGCCAAAAGTTTTCTCGCTGTGTCTAAAAGTGGCTCGCAGCAGTAACCCTGAATGACAGCTCATTGGCTAATTTATAAAATGTGTAGCCTGGTCCCGGAAGCTCCGGAGGGCTTTACCATATTAACAGGAGAAGCAGCGCAAGTAAAGTTAGACACTGTCATCAGTCAACATGCGGTAATTTTTAAATGTTTTAAGTCAGACTGGGTCAGGTTATGTATCTGTCACCTCCTTCACTAAAACAGTGGTCAATTCATAATACTTTCTCATCTCCTCTTTTTATCATTGTCAATGTAATAGAGGCATCAGCAATGAAGAATTTATGGATTTTATGCTGTGACCTAATGGTTCATGCCACTGCAGTACTATTCCAGAGCAATAATAATAATTACATACTATTGGTGGCTTCCGTATCTCTTCGTAGGTGGCTAGACCGCAATGAGGACGATGGACAAATCACTAGAGAATTGGTGCCATTCTCTGATGGACAGCGACTGTACAGTAAGTGGGAGGAGGCTGTCCGTTTATCTAGCATTTCATTATGTTGCTAAAATTCACATTGATGCCATTTGTCAGATATCAGCTATCAGATCGCAATAAAGACCGGCGACATACCAGGAGGAAGCTCAGACTCGAATGTATTTGTCAAGCTATATGGCGAGAAGGGAGACACTGACAAGACGATGCTGGTGGTTTCTACAAACAACTTGGGGAACTACTTTGAGACCGGCCGTGTTGACATCTTCACAGTGGAAACCTTTGATATTGGACAGGTTCTCCCACTTAGTCCTGATGAAAGTCATAGAATTCTGAAACTGAAGCCCTTGATAAAACAGCTTTATACAAAGCATCACTTTATGGCATCTTAATGTACCTGTATGGTGTAATCTGTTAAATCCCATTTAACTTTGTTGGTGAATTTCAGATCAACCGTCTTCTGATTGGTCACACTAACAAAGGCATGCGTGCAGGTTGGTTCCTTGACAGCGTCCAGATTATGGTTCCCATACAAGGAAAGAATTACATGTTCCCGAGTCACCGGTGGCTTGACAAAGACGAAGCTGATGGAAAAACAGAGGTGGAGATTTACCCAAGCGAGATCCTAGAAATGGTACAATGTAGGTATAACGCTCACCCTCTTATGCTCTTCAATGAAAAAAACAACATTAAGAATCTCCAGAACTAATATAATCACACAGAACTTCTCTGGGGGGTTATTTTTCATTGTTTTCACCAGCGTACAATATTTTGAAGCAGCACTTGGAGAAGTTTTTTAATGTCTTGATAATATGTTTGTGGCTGCTCAGTGTTGCAGTGGGTAGCACTGCTGCCTTGCAGCAAGAAGATTCTGGGTTTAATTCCCAGATGCAAAATCTGCTTGGAGTTTGCATGTTCTCCCTGAGAATGCGTGGGTTCTCTCTGGGTACTCTGGCTTCCTCCCACAATCCAAAAACATGACTTTTAGGTTAATTGGCTTCTCTAAATTCTCCTTAGGTGTGAGTGTGTGCGTGAGTGGTTGTTTGTATTGTCTGTGTTGCCCTGCGATGGACTGGCGACCTGTCCAGGGTGTACTTGCCTATAGACAGCTGGAGATGGGCACCAGCACCCCTTGCGACCCCACTCGGGACAAGCGCGTCAGATAATGGATGGATGGATGGATAATATGTTAGCTTAAACTTGCACAGATTTAGAATTTATTATGATTTACTGAAAATACCCTACACTGCCAAAAGTACTACCTCACCCATCAACAGTAAATAACGAAAATCAGGGGTTTCAATTATCTCCATGAACTCCACAGATGTATATTAGCAAGCACCTAGTATTGTGGACTGCTTTTACAAGAATTTCTGAAGGAGTGGGTTGCTCGTTGGAGGTCAGTGAATTCCAGCAGGGTGCTATGATAGAATGCAACAAGTCGTGTCATGAAATTTCCTCACCCCTAACTATTCCATATTCAACTCTCAGTGATATTATAACAAGTCGAAATGACTGAGAACAACAACCCCTCAGCCATGAAGCGGAAGGCCACGTAAAATGATAGAGACGAAGCAGCAGATGCTGGAGCTCTGTACACAGATGTCGCCAACCTTTTGTAGAATCAGTCACGACAGACCTCCAAATTTAATGTGGCTTTAGGATAAGAACAGGACTTAGACAGATTCATGACATTGGTTTTCATGGCTGAATAGCTTCATCCAGGCCATATACCACCAAGTGCAATGCAGTAGTGTAAGGCACGCTGTCACTGGGCTGTTATCTGGAGTGATGGTTTGAGTTTGTGTTTGGTGATTTTCGAATAACTTAGAACAGAGAGGGAAGACTTTTTTTTCCAATAGCAGTCTATGATTTTCCAAATGTTCTGGGGAATCGGTCTCAAATATCAACATAAACACCTATAACCTTTAGTAGCCAAGATATTGAACCCCAGGAACTATAAATGGGGTGTCACCTATGTTTATATCGGAGTGAAGGGAGACAAGTGAATATGTTTGTCAATGTAGTCTATCATAAAATTCTTTCTTTTTTTACTATTATGGATTTTATTAACTAATTGAGACACATTTTTCTGTAGTAAACAGGCATGACCTTACCATGAATACTTTGTTAGCTAAAACCCTTTGATGACCTTCACTCACTTATTTGTTTTTTCATTACTTATCTTGATTTCTAGTGATGAACTATGAGGTAACAGTAGTCACTGGAGATGTGATGTTTGCCGGCACCAATGCACGAGTGTTTATCCAGATCTATGGGGAGAAGGGCAAAACTGAAATTATCACTCTTGAAAACAGATCCAACAATTTCGAACGGAATACAACAGAAATATTTAAGGTATCAAAGTTTTATTTTATCTTTTCATTGTCTCCATATAAGAGTTTTCTTTTGATTCCCTGGGAAAATAGTATTGCACAATATCAACAACTTTCAAACCTTTTCACAGTTTGAGGCCAAAGATGTGGGGAAGATCTTTAAAATACGAATTGGTCACGATGGCTCCGGAATTGGATCTGGCTGGTTCCTGGAGGCAGTTGATGTTAAACATCTTATAATGGCTCTGATGCCTAAAGAAAAGAAAAAAGAAGACAAGAAAAAGAAGAAGAAGAAAAAGAAAGACGAGGTTGAGGACGAAGATGAAGCAGAGGAGATGCGGGAGGTGGTGCTCGCATACCATTTTCCTTGCTCACGCTGGCTTAGCAAGGGAGAGGAGGATGGAGAACTTGTGGTGGAGCTTCTATCTGAAGATGCAGAGGAAGATCTAGAAGGTATGAAACATAAAGAGAAAGAAAACTGACATCTAATAATGTATATTTTTAATATCTACAGCTTAAGATTTTAAAGTTTAAGCCCCTTTTACACTTAATGCCATTGTATGGTGGCATCGATAACCTTAAAGATTCCATGGTGTCTAAAAAGCAGCTAATTCGGAAAACTACTTAAGTGCACATAGGTGCAGCTAAATGCAAGAATATTGCCAGCCATAGACCAACAGTAGTACTACATAGACCTGCCCTATACGGTGTCCAATATTTTTAGGATTAGAACAATCATTCTATAAATATAAAAAGGTCTATCCACATCCATTATCAGTATCAGTCTTGCTCTTTAGTGCAGGTAACATTATGAACATAGATGATTCTAGACAGGAGCCATCAGAGGCCAATGCCCCCGTAGAACCAGTCCTGTCTCCTGTTATGACCCATCTACTAACAACATCAAACTAAATACATTTAAGATGATGATGATATGCACTGGCATGTAACCATAACTGATCTCTTGTATCGAATTCCAGTTTCTACCTTTTGAGCTTTACTTAAATTATTAATTTAAAATTAAGGTGTTACATTTTGTGATGCATTGAGATCATAGTTCTCATCTGCAAGATTAGGGGTCTGCAACCTGAGGCTCCAGAGCAGCAAGTAGTTGTTACGTTGTGGCTCAGTTTTTTTTTTTATTCTTTGCCTGCATGTTATCCATACAAAAAAAAGTTTACATGGAGGACCACCCTGATCCCCCCAGTAAATATGATATATAAAATTGGCTGTGATTATTCTGGTGAGAAGTGTGCTTCCCCCTAGATCCTTATATTGATGTTTATTACATGACATGTTTGTTGAAAATGCTTGAGATTTTCTGTTTTCAATTAACTCAACAATAGCAGAACATCTGCAATGAAGAAACAATGCAATCAATTCGTTGGGAGGGTGGTAATGATAAATTGATAGCCTTGGCATGTAGCCAGTGTTCCCTATCATGTTTAATTTTGCTCATGTGACAAGTGCACATGTTTTCCACCTGGACAGAATAAGGCTGCTGATATTAGGCTCCTCCATGACCTAGCTATGCTGCTATCACCATCTTCTTACAAATGTTTATTGAATGGATAAAAAACAAGAGCCCTCTTTAACTCCATTAGGCATGGGCGTAGGTTTGTATGGGGACCATAGGGACATGTCCCTACCAACATTTAGAACCGTCTTAATTGTCCCTACCAATAATCGGATGTGAGCAACATGTTGCTAATTTCCAGCAGTAGTTGTTGCAGCTTCTTTTCCTCTGGCAGCTCCTCTGCCTGCTCTCTCCTGTCCCTTTCACGTAGCAGCGCATGGAACTGTGCTGCGCTGTTTAACTCCACTCTCATTGGTTGTTCTGCCTTAGGTTCGGCCTTCTCTCTCTCTGATTGGCTGTTTTCTAGTCCAAGTGTGCTTGGAGCACAAAATTGAAAATATATTCACACGTAACACAACCTTTTATCATCGTCCTATATTGCTACTGTCTGACTGTTTAAATAGCTCCTTATGTCTATTTTCTTTTTTAGTGGCATCATCTACAAACACAACACTGAGAATGAGCCTAAGGGTATTCAAATATAAAATCACTTTTAACAACTATAAAAGACAATATAACACTATCTTATCTGTAATGTAATAATATCCTAAATAAACAGCCAGATTCCAGCATTTTTACCAGACATTAATGTTTGTACTAATTTACTTATAGACTGTGTGGAAATCTATGTAAAATAAAATTAATGTTAATATTCTTCCTCTGTTTGTTCAACCTATTCTCATTATGAGTGCGTATGAAATCGTACGAAAAGTTATGCACCGTAATTTTGTACGTTTTGGACGTTTTTTTCGTCGTATGCGCATCTGACGCACCATTCACGAATCTAGAATATAAATTACAATTAGCCCTAATCCTAAGATATAAAACCGGAAGCAACGTATTTAGAGACATGAATAAGTGATGATTGCACTGTTTTTTTCCATTTTTACGTCCGTCCGCAGATCTGCTTTTTTTTGCCAGCACATGCGCACTGATGTGGTTTTTTGAGGAAAAACGTCCAAAACGTACGAAATTACGGTGCATAGCTTTTCGTACGATTTCATACGAACTCATAATGAGAATATGTTGGTTTGTTCTTGTCTTTATCCTATTTCTAGAAGTAGAAATAGTCAATTAAATTACTATTATTATGTGAAACCCTAATTATGCTTTTTAAACAAAAAACAGCAGATGATTAGGCGCCATTTTTTGTTGTTATCCTCTATATGAGAAATAACACCTGCTAATAATTATACCTGAACTTCCTCAAAGGGTTGTCAAAAAATGAAAACAGTAACAGCAACTAAATATCGGTAAAAAGGAAACCCTCACATTTTCTTTTTTAGTTGGCTGTGGCTAAGAACCAGACATGTTGATGCTTACAGCCTTTATTTGCCCATTTTTCCAGCAGTCCTCAGAACTCCTGGCTGACTCACAATATTTTGTTTTATAAAAGAAAAAAAAGGTTTTTGTTTTTACCTCTACTGCATATTTAAAAATAGAGCAGGAGCAAAACTGAGCATGTTTGTGCTTTATTCATGTATTTATTACAGTATTAATCAAACCTGGGAGCTGGCTGTGAGACAGACACATCGCTGATGACACAGCGCTGTGATCACTCCTCTGTAACTGTTTATTGACGCATAAATTAACTTAAAATGCAGAAATCTGCCGGCAGAATATGTTCGCTTTTATTATCCTGGTGCCTGCAGTTTAGATTATTTAGATGAAAAACACCTACCAGCTGCCGTGGTGAACTGCGAGGAGACGACCCAGCCAGAGGCTGCTGTTGAATGGGATTCCTACTGACAGCGCAGCATTAGTATGTGGGGGTCTGAGCGGCTCCCACAGAAATAATATTGGAAGGCAGGATGGAAATCTGGATGTACTGACTGCAATGACTAAGTTTTCAGGTGGACTTTCTCACTTAAAAACATATTAAAACTACTTTATTCCCACTGATCACAGCAAATATAGCTGCAAGGCAAAGAAAGGATAGAGTAGCTCCGCCCAACGCGCGTCAGACACACTTTTGCACCGCACAGCCAGAGCAGCAAAGCTGCTTCAGCCGCGCGTCAGAACTAACTGGTACAAGCAGCAAAAATTAAACAGCAGACGCGATTTTGCTGCTCCTGCTGCGTCCGGTGTGAACGTAGCCTTACTTTGAGCCTTACACCGATGTCAAGTGGTTGAAGTTCCTTTGTCAGACCAATAACAGCGAGGGCACGCATGAAGTCACAGATTAACAGCGATGGTGATGCGTGGAAAAAAACCACCTGGTCTCCTTACATACACCTGCCTCAGCCACTCTTTCATCATCTCCTCCATGAGGAGATGAGGAGTTCTGCATAAAGCACATACAGTACCTGTTCTTTTATACACAATCCACACCCACACTTCCCCCTTTAACGTTCTCATGGCGGTCTCAATAATGTCCGCACTATAGGGCGCGCCGCTCTATAGGGCGCGCCGCACTATAGGGCGCTGCACATTTTGAGGGACAAAAAAGACGTTTATATGCGCCTTATAGTCGTGAAAATACGGTAACATGATTCAGTTTTTCAGCCCCAGATAAAATACATGAAATGTGCGACACAGAGTAACTACAGCCCAGATATTCAACTTTTATAGTGAAGTTAATATTTTAATGAATGTATTATTTTGCTTGATACAGAGAGAGCATAGTAGGTAAAAATATAAGAGTGGGTTTAACTCTGCACAATTCTATATCTTCAAAAGTAAATACTGTATTTACCTTCTGTCTTAGTGGTTCAAATGAAACCATTTTCAAAGAGGAAAACAGTCCTAATTCCACATTGATCAGAGCCGCTGATACTTCAAACATTGATAAACAGCATCTAATGACGGTAGTGCTTATAACATTTTATTAATGTAGCAAAATGCTGCTTTTCTCTTTAAACAATGAATTCCTCTTATCAGTACGGATGCTCACATCCAGCATAAAAAAGGGCATATGGCATAGCACCAATGACACCCGCCCAACAGTGTCCCTACCAGAGTTCAGATCAAACCTACGCCCTTGCCATTAGGCCAAGTCTAGAGTGCAGAAGACCCCTCTAAGATCGCAGAAGCCATCCAGATTCAAACAGATCTTTAATATGACATAAACATCTTTAACAAAGCAACATGCCGCTTAATTTCCTGTTGTTTCCCCACCCTCAAGTTATTCTTCATACAACACTGAATACCTAAGAACAATGACTTCCTACTTACCTAATATGGTAGATATTAGATGTCAAATCCACCACTGCTGCCCCTAATTAGAATATTTTACACTTGCAAAAAGATCTTGTGTGTGATCAATAAATAACCTTTTTGTTTGTTCTTTTCTTTGTGAGAAGATTGCTTGTCACAGATGATAAAACTGATGCTTTTGATAAACATAATCAAATATTCAACTAAACTTCTGCGGGAATAATGCAAACTCCCAACAGTGCTTTGATTTTTTTTTTACTTGTACTTCCCTTATTCTCTTTGCTATACAGCTAAAATTATTGACAACTATTCTTACTGTGATTAAAGGCAAGAACAAGTAGGCTGTATAGAATAAACTGCATCTAGAATTTAAGCAGCTTTAAGCTAATAAATCCTTCACAAATGTTAGTTTAAACACAATTAGTCTCTTATTAGTACAATAAAACACAGTTTTTATGTCAATTGTTTAAAGAGCATTACTGTCAGTACTTAAAAAAAAAAAAAACATTGAAATGAAAGCTCCAGTCTTTATCAAGCATTGCTAGCTTCTGATCTGCTGTTTGATTTTTTTTTTTTTTTTTTTTTTTTTTGCTCATATAAAATATTTATTTCATTTAGGGCACATTTGCCTCTTGAACTAGTGGTGTGATTTGCACAGTTTGATTTGACACAGTATCCTCGCCA